CCAAGAAGAGAACTGCTATGTTCCTTGGCTGGATTATAAATGCAACAAATTACTGTTCTTATCCCACAGGCTCCTCACTGTATTTAAAAAATATTTTTACTGAAAGTCAATGCCTTTTACCAACTTCCAGAGAATTTTAAATGTTTATTTGAGTACATAAAATAAGAGTAAGAAATTTTTTTCTGACTTGAGTAGTATGTGACTTCTAATAAATCTGGAAGTTATGAAAAATGGCTTTAATATTTTTATGCTATTTCTGGATTTCCTAAGGTTGTCCCATGTCTGTTTTTTCCCCCATGTCCATGTGTAGCCACAGAGAGTGCAATCACATCTGGAATTTATAAACACGGAAATTTGACTTTTAGAAAATGCATGATGCCATTTGAAGATGCTGTTCTTACAGTTTAACACCTGCTTTGCTGGTTTTGGAAAATGTCTGTGTAGTGTCTGAGGTAGCAGCTCTTCTAATTGTTGGGTTTGGAATATTCTGAGACAGTTAGAAAAGCAGGCTTATATGAATGTAAATGTTTGAGATTAGACCCTGGACAGCAATAAGAAAGGCCTCTTCTGTTTATTCCTTAAAGATATAAGGTGATTATGTTTCTCCTGTCACTTGCTGCCACAAATGATCTACCTAGCACACAAATGTCAAAGTGCTCTTTTCCTATCCCTGCCAATATCCTTCCTTCACTTCTGTGTATTAGTGTGACTATTGCTGATGAGCATGAGGAAGAGCTCAATTCAGACCTTCCCTTCTGCTTCCAGGTTGCTGTTCACACCTCCGAGATGTTGTCCCCAAGGAGGCAGACCTGTCACCTCAGCATTCCCTGGCAGAAATCACCTGTGAGTCAGCAAGACCCATTTAGCACTCCCCAGCTGAAGCACCTCCCGAAAATACAGTGGGATGTTTGAGGCAAATACTGTCAGCCTCCTAAAATACTGTAGGCAAGTTCAGATCCCTTTCCCCCCACCACTACTCCGTAATTATTTATAATATGCTATACATGACAGGCTGGTAAAATGCACCCAGCCAAAACCAAAACAAATGGAAGTGTTGCCAAGTTAGCAATGCAAAAAGGGAGGAAGTGTAAGACAGAAGATAAAATGGTGAAGCAGATTAGTGACCTATCAGTCTGTGACTAGTGCATTGGTTTGAATGAAGAATTTAAGCATGATGTTTGGTTAATCCTTATGAAAGGTAATCTCAATAATAACATTTGTTATTAATTAAAAAAAAAGAAAAATAATGACATTGTAACATTTAATACTTCGGGGATCTTTTAAAATACAAGTTCCTTAGGATCCAGCTTTTACAAATTATAGCTCAGAAGTATCCAGCAAATAATTCTGATGGTTATTCCTGACAGTCAGCCTAGTTTTACCAAGAATGGCTTGACACAACCAAGGAAACTGAACTCATGTCCTGCCCTGTCCTACAAAAGAGCTGCTTTTACATCTCCTTGCTGTTACAGCTGTGAGCATGTTTGGCTTCTCAAAATATTACCTTTCACTAAAAACTGTGGATATTATTTATTCAGCATACACTCATGATAGCTGTCACTGGCTTCTTGCCCATTGACAAGTCCAAAAGACACTTGTGTGTCATTTTGGGACTGCTACCCTGTATTCCCAGATGCCAAATTATTTATATCAATAAATCCTAATCAGATTCTGTCATTTTCATATTGCTGTGAGAAGCCAAGTACCACTATAGGAAGATAGGAGCAGGGAATAGGAAGGAGAAGAGAAAATCTTGACACCACATTGTTTAGCACATGTGATTGCACATTTAAGGTTTTGACAGTATTTCCATGAAAATGACTGATGGAGAAGCAGCATTTCAATGGACATTATTTCAAGATTTTAATGAATAAGTGTTTTAAAGTGAGATTGGAGAAAGGAGAAAATAGTTTGGCATGAGGAGGAAGGTTACACAGACAAAGGTGGGAGAAAACACTTAAAGGTTAGGGTATTTAGAAAAGTTGACAGAATAAGAGGAGGGTATAAAGAACTGTTCCTGTGTTATGTAGGTAAATCTAATTATTTCTTCTGTTTAACTGGGAGAATGTCTGTCGGGTTTTCTGGGTGATTCCTGAAGGCAAATATCAATACAGTCAAACCATAGTGGTGAGTACTGAAGAACAAGACTTGTGTGAGGAGGAGCTTCTGTGGGGACATGTGGGCTTGGCTCACACAGAGGGAACACTCCAGCACATCTCTCCTCTGCCACTGGGGCTGCAGGAACTCACAGCAGCTTTGTGATCCTAAGGGAAGTACTGGTACCCTAAAGGGAAACCCCAAAGCTTCTTCCTGTGCTGTCCATGCCACTGCCAGCACTCGATCCCTGGCTCCACACCTTGCTCCTCTTCAGCTCTATTAGCTCAGAATCAGACTTTCAATGACATGCTGCTGAGCCAGTCTGTCTGCCCAGGCTTACAGCAGTCCTGTCGCTGCTGTGTGATATTGTTTTGGTCTGATTTCATTGATTAGTTGGTTACTTTCTAGTTTGGCTCAAAAAAGAATGTCAAGTAGGTTTTTGTCTGTTTCAGTTTTTTTTCTCTTTGTGCCATTCTAGTTTTCATTCAGAGCAAGAGCATTCAAATTTCAGACAGAGATTCTTTGACTATAAAATTAAGTGCATTTCTGTCCTGTAGATTTGCAGAAAGAATATCTGGTTAATTATTTTCCAAGGTGCTTAAGGTCCCTAAGAAACCTCTATTGTCTTGTGGGGAGGTAAGATTATGTACAAACCCATAGAAAAGGCAAACAAGGCATGCAAAAATGCCCCTTTCCCTAGAGCCACATTCTGGCTCTCTGCTGAGGATCCCCGAGTATTTAGACACCATTTGCAGTCCTGATAGTCTCCAAGCTGGAAGTCCATAAATCTGCTCTGCCTCCAGACTGCTCTGGCCAGCTGAAGCTCTGTTCTGCATGAACTGGTCCCTGTGCTGGCCCAAGGGCTGCAGCCTCAGCTCCCCAAAGTCTGCAGCATCAGGATCCCAGTGGGTGTTTCCAGGAAGGCATCATCAGACCCCTTCACCGAGCTGCAGTTTTCATCCCACAGGAAGAAAATCAAAGGTTGTTTATTCAGCTGATCTATACATTTCTACTCTTGTGTTGATTATACCTTTTGCATGGTAAAATAAATGATTAAAAAAACCCAATCTGCATAGAAGGATTAGGATGGAACCAAAAAATAGCTACCTGGAAGCCTGGAAGACTCGTTTCTTTGTATATCTACAGTGAGGTTTAAAATGAGAAGTGACATAAGTGACATTTTATTTCGGAATTCCCCATCTTCTCCAAATTCTTTATGTGAACTTGTGAAACAAACTCAGGTCCTGAAATTTAATGATCAAGAGTCACCTACACACAACTTACACAGTCACCCAGACAGAGAGGGGAAAACCTCTTTTGTTCTGAGCACTCAGCTGTAGACATCTTGATAAGAAACAAGTTTATATTTGAACTTGTAAAACCGTAATTTCATCAGGAAATCAAATTACCAAGATGACGTAATTCTCTGGTTAAATACCAGCATACAAAAATTAAATCCAAGAAGAAGTGGGAGAGAAATGTAAACCTCATTTATTGAAAACTTGTGCTATAGTTCTCTTTGCTATTTCAACATACTTAATTAAGTTTCTCTCCCTCTTGTTTTTGTATTTTGTATGTCTCCCCTGTTCTTGTTGAAGCCTAGACTGCAATATCTTCAGTCCTAAGGCAGAAGATCTTTCCAAGCCCAGGAGACAAGTGACAGTGAGATGTGCCAATCTGTCGGCATGGGAGCACTCAGGGTCACAGACAGGGTGGTGCTGGGGACAGGACCTGAAGCTGGAGCTTGGTGCTTTCAGCGGGCGTGGGAGGTGGATGCAACACCTTGAGAAACGCTGGGAGCATTTACGGCGTTGCTGAGAAGCTGAAGGGAACAAAGTGTCCAGAGAGCTGTTCCAATGCCCTGGCTGTGGAGCAGGGTGCCCGTGACTGGGGACAGGGCTGCCCGCACCTCTTTGACTGCAGTCAGGACCGAAGCCCCAGCCGTGCTGTGCGGCAGCAGGTACACCCTGACAGACCAACTTCGTGGGACTGACGCTGCTCCCAAAACACCCGGCTGAGCACTCCGTGATTAAATGTGGAAAATGGAATAAAACCATAACTCTGGAAAACCTCCGCGTATTTCATTCCCGCCGTCTCCTTATCACCCACTATTGCCAATTTCAAGAATTACGGATAAAAAACAAACCATAGTAGTAAAACAAGCCGTCATCTTTCACAAAGACGCATAATCTGCTTAAGATTGTTCTCCCATTCATCGGGGATGTTGAGACGTTCAGCTCACTCCTCCCTCCTCCTCCCGAGGCGCCCCAGCGGCGCTCGGAGCATCGCGAACCGCTCCGGCGCTGGCAGCTGCCGGCCGCGAACCCCGACACGGAGCGGCGACCCCTCCTCTCTTTCCTTCTCCCTCCTCCTCGCCCCCATCCCTCCATCCCTTCCTTTCCCAGCCCTGGTCCGCCTCCGTCACGGCCTCGCCGGGCGCCCGGAGCGGCGGCCGCTGCCCGGGGGCGTCGGTGGGCGCTGCCCGCCCGCGGCCGCGCGCCCCGCCTCCCCCGCCACCCGCCAATCAGAGTGGCGGCTGCTGCGGGCCGCGCCCCGCCATTGGCCGCCGCCACTGTCAGTCAGGGGCCGCCCCCGCGGAGGGGCGAGGCGGGCGGGGGGTGCCGGCTCCGAGCGGGGCCGGGCGGCGGCGGCGCTGCGGTTGCGCCATCTGTCAGAGTCCCGGGGGGAGGGAGGGAGCGCCCGAGCCGCGCTCGCCCGGGCGGAGCGGAGCGGAGCGGAGCGGAGGCGAGGCAGCAGCGGCAGCGCGGACAGCCCGTGCGAGCTCATCCCTGCCCAGGCTGCGGCTGTGCCGCCTCACGGAGCCGCCGCCTCCGCGTCCGGCCGCGGCTCGGCGCAGCGCGTCCGCCCCGGGAGAGGCAGCGGCGCCCGGAGCGGCGCCCCTCGCTGCGGGCGGGCGGGGGCAGCCGGCGGAGGAGCGGAGCGAGGAGGATGCGAGTGCGGCGGCGCCGCCCCGGCCCCGCGCTGCGCTGAGCTGAGCCGAGCAAGCCGAGCCGCCTCAGGTAACGGAGGGGCCGGAGCCCGCCCGGAGCAGCGGGGGCGGGGGGATGCATGCTTGCATGCAAGGATGGATGGGTGGATGGATGGATGGATGCTGCGGCGAGTCTGTTTCCTTTGTGCGCCTGAGCGCTGGCGGGGTGCGGGGGCTCCCGGCGAGGGGAGGCGGCCGCGCTGCTGCGGGTCTCCCCCACGCACCCACACGCGGACCCCGCGGCCGCAGCGCGGGCAGGGCCGGGGCGGCCCCTGCGTGCCCGGGGGTCGCGGTGCCGCTGCCCCCCGCCCCCGAGGGCGCCGGCCGGGGAGAGGGGAGGGGGCGCAGCACAGGGACGTATTTGTTGTCGCCGAACTGCGAAAAAGGGGAGGGGGGAGGAATAAATAAAAAGACCTTCTCTCCCTCTGAAATAAATCGTATAGGATTTGCGCGTCTGTGACAAAGGCCTCTTTCAGGGAAGAAAGAAGGGACGTACAAAATGCCCAAGGGTGGTAGGATGTGAAAAGAGGCTTGTTTCTTGTGTCTCCCCTAGAGCCTTTCTGTTCCTTCCCAGACGAGGCCGCTGATCTGGTGCCAGTTCCTTTTCAGCTACATTTGAGATTAGGGAGAGATACCAAACGCCACACCATGGGTGCCAGCGTTTTGCTGCGTCTGCAGAGCCACGGTGTACGTGTCGCCCGACCTCCTTAATAATGCTCAGTTTGGCCTCTGCTTCCTGGGGATCTCGCCCGGTTTCTGCTCTCTGTGGGTTCTGCGTGTGCGTGAGCGCTGGCAGAGGGCTGGCCAGGGAAGGGGTCACTTTGTGGGGACAAGCCCATGGTACCTCGGTCCCTTCAGCAGTGACGGGGAGGGCAGCGCTGAGTAGGTGCTGGTGGAGAAGGTTTGGGCTGAGTGGAAAGCAGCCCTCTGCAGTTGCTCATCCGTCACTCTGATATGCTCTGATTCTTAAAACGCTACATAACGAGTGACCAGGGCGGACCGGGCTTTTGAAATGCACAAGACTGGGGAACGCCTTTGAGACCTTGTCATTTTCCTCCTTGTATACAACCTCTTTAACTCCCACATCCTTCCTTCCACCATCCCTGCAGCTGTAACACTTTTTAGTATCTCCTTCCCACACCCCTTTTTGTTTTCTTTTCTTTTTTCTTTTTCTTTTTTCCTTTTTGTTTTTCTTTTTTTCTTGATGTGTTTCTAACTAGCGTTCTGGAAGCTGAGAACAGTTGCAGGTGAAGATCTGTTTGTTTATATGCTGGGGGAGGAAGTGTTTTCATTAGGGTTGACTCGCCTGGTCTCCCATGAGGAGGAACAGTAAGCTAAAGGGACACTGTCAACTTGAAATCCAGGGAATGTGCGTGATGAATGGAGAGCTGTGTCCAATATTACACCCACCGTTGAGCTCCCTGCTGGAGATCTGTGGTTTTTATAAGCCTGTCTTCTGACTGTGTGGGTTGGTCATGCAGTGAAGGAGTAAAAACACACTTCAAACAAAGTCCTGTTAAGTGAACAAAGGAGTGCAGAAGAAAAATACCAGAGTGGGAAGGGAGGGAAGGCAACGTCTCCAACTTCTCAGTTACATCCACTGTAGCCACTGCTTGACCCAGTGGGAAACTGGAGGGGCTACAGTTCATTTTTACAGTGGCACATTTATTAATATCGCTGAAGTGGAAAGGTTGTTACTTTTGCCCCAGTGTTTAAGGAGTTTTCAGCACCTTGATGTGTGTACTCAGAAAACTAGTAGCACGTGATGGATGTCAGTAGGTCAGTGTCTTTTCGCAATATAAGAACAATTTTAAGAATGGTATCTCTCGTGAAAAAACATTGGGTTCCTTCTTGAGCCCTTCTTACCCCATGAAGTTATAATTTTGATGAAAAAGAGAAAGATTACCTAATTAAGGCTTTAGAAATTTGTATTTTGTTAAGAGTAGGCTGCAGATTTGTTGAAATGTTCAGATGCTTCTTAGAGGGTGCCTGTAAGCATCCTTCCACTCCACCTCCAACAAATTACTGCCTCATCTGTGTGGCTTGTCTTTGGCAAAAGAAACAATTTTCAATATAAAGTTGTCTGATGGTAGGCCACTGGCTGTGGTGTTTTGTGGTTTATGCTTCAGGCATGTTGTTTCAGAAACTCTGTGTTGCCTGCTGGTGAAAGACACAGTGGCATAAAATTCCAGTTAAGTATAAAACTCTGAACAGCCTTCTCTGGAAATTATTTTGGTGTTGAGTAAATACATGTCTTCAGTGAGGGACAGATGACTTTGGCATACGGGCATGGCAGTCAGTGTAAGCCAGAAATGAATAACGTGGGGTAAAGAAGTTGGATATTAATCATTTTAACAAGTGTCTTTAAAAGTTAGGACCCAGTGATAAATTTCTATTGAGTAAGAAAATGAGTATTCATATGAGTAAGAAAAACATTGCTGAGCAACTTTTTATTTTTTGACAGACTACAACAGATTCCACAATACCTTTATGTGAAATAGCTAAATTGTGTAATCTGAAATCATGAGTGGAGTCTGATATGGTGAGGGCCTCTGTGAGCACTGGCCCTGTGGCTTAGCTGAATACACTAATCTGGACATGGTGTCATCAGCACTGATTTACAGTGTAATAAAATTGTGGCCAAGGTGAGTGAAAACTGCCCAGCACATTTGTGATGATTTCACACTGTAATATGGGACATCTACAGTATCATATGTTTAATTGTGTAAAGGAAAGTATAGAGCTGTTTTTCATCTTATTCCCAATTACCTTTATTTAACGAGCACCTTCACTCTTCCGTCTTGCTGCATTACTGTGCTTTTTACTTCAGGGAGAAAAAGAGTTGGAGGCATGTGCTTTCCCTTCGTCCTTCTCTCTGGGGTGCACATTAATATTTGATTCAAACTTGTTCTGTAAAGTTCTGCTTAATTCAGTTTGGGCACTAGTTTGAATGTATAATAATGGTGTTTGTTTGTGTCATGGGCAGTGCTTTGTAATTTGCTTTATGGGCAAGTCTGCTGCTGGCAGTGTGTATTGTCCAAGTGACCTTCCTTTCAGAGGGAGAAAACCAGTAACTCCTGGCCCTCTCCCACCCCTGCAGCTCCCACAGAAGTGTCTTCACAAGTCCCTTTGACCCATTACTCCAAAACCAGGACTTGAACCGACAAATCTGGTTCACCCGAGCAGTCTCATTGAAATCCAGCAATTAAGGATTCCTTTGGTGACAAAAGGCCCACGGATCTGCATTGTGCAAGTCAGCCATTTACTTGAGGCGAAACCCACAAAAGTGTTTGCATGCCTCCGCGAGGAGCACCCTGAGCTGTGATCCCTGGAGACGTGGCTCTCCTGAACCAGGGATGTGGCTGCTTGCTGGGCCATGCTGAATGCACTGTGCCCCTCAGAGCTGAGATCCCAGCAGCCAGGGAAATGCTGCCAGGGCCACCCAGTGCAAAGTGTCTCAGAAGGAGCTGAAACTTCAGGGCTGCATCTTTCACCTCAGAAGGAGCTGAAACTTCAGGGCTGCATCTGCCTGCCTGCTGGGTGTCTCACTTGGTACCACGGTGGCTTAAGGTTAAGCTATTAGAGGTTAAAAACCCTAACCTTCTGTTGGTGAGGTAGTAATAATTTATATATATATTAAAAAAAGAAAACACACCAAAAACCCAAACAAACAAAACCCCCTGACAAATTACAAAACACAAGCAAACAAACAAACAAAAAACCCCAACCAGCTTTGCATTTCAGTAGACGATAAACATGCAGGTGTAGAAGAATTGGGATTTCTAGCATTTGCATCCTGTCATGGGTTTTGCCCTTAGTGCCTGCCTTGCAGACAGAGGAATGACAGGTGCAGATGAAACCTGAAAGGCTGAAGCTGTTTCGGTGCATGCGGGGTGAGTGTGGCTCTCCTTGGGGAGCGAGAGCCCCGTTAGCGCTGTGCTCCAGCGCAGCCTCGCCTGCTGCCTCGGGCAGGGCTCTGGTTTCAGGCAGGCAATCTGCCTCCTGCTTTGACAGTGGTCAGGTGAAACCTGTCCGTGGGAGGTGTCCTTGAGCCCTGAAACTGGGAACAGGCCTGACCTTAGAGGCGTTGCAGTACCCTGTTGCTGTCCTTGCCTCTGGCTGCGGGAAAACAATCGCATTTTGTAGGGCTTTTTTGGAACTTTAGTTCACTTGGAACGGAAACAAAATTGAACGGTATCACTGCTTTTACTGGGGGAGGTGAAAAATCATATTATTTCAAGTCAGTCAAAACATGATGCCTCATCTTGCTTCTGACTGTTCTAAATGGTAACTTGCTGTGAAAGCAAGGATTTCAACTCAAAATACTGCCACCTGTTTGGAGCAAAATAGAACCTCTGACACCTTTACTTTTTACTGGAGTATAAAATCAGCAGCAGTTTTACAGAGCTTTAAGGTGTCGATAGAACTAAATCATCTGGCAGAAAATAACTGTCAGATTTTTCCTGACCAGCTCTATTCCTCGTATACCATGAATTTGAATGAATGTTTTTAATCTGAAAAAGCTATCAAAAAAGATAGCCTGGCAGTATCAACTGATTTGAATTAGATGGTCCGGGTTAAATCTTTTTTCCAAGAGGGATGAAGACAGCAGATTAATTTTAAACTTGCCCTTCTTAAAATGCAACTCCTTTTTTGTATCAAAGACATCCCAGTTTGAATGGATGATGTTGGTTGTGACAAGGTGCTATGGGGAGAGGTTACCCCACATTTTCCTGCCCAGCTTCTCCTGATTCAGAGCAGTCTTGCAGCTCTGAAAGTTGCCTCTTCCACACTATAATTTTTTAAAGTATCTGTGAGTAATAAGCCCTTCTTGCTTAAGGCAAGAAACCTAAATTTTTAGACCAAGTTCACTGATGTTCATCATAGTGAGATGTAGTTTAATGTGGTGAACTCTACAAGGCAGCAGCAATGTGAGAATGTTTTGATGAGAAAGGGGAAGGTGACCCTTCTGTGCTTATTTGTTTTGCTCTGTTTTGGTGGATTTTTTAGGAGGCAACAATGACTGGGGGC